GAAAAGCCTCACAAGTGTGAGGAATGTGGGAAGAGTTTCAGTCAGAGCTCCAACCTGATCCGCCACCAGAGGACCCACACTGGGGAGAGGCCCTACAAGTGTGAGGAGTGTGGGAAGGACTTCAGGCACCCTTCCCACCTGATCCGCCACCAAAATATCCACACTGGGGAAAGGCCGTATGAGTGTTCTAAGTGTGGGAAGAAGTTTCCCACCAGCTCTGATCTCCTTCAGCACTACCAGACACACACGGAGGAGAGGCCTTTCCAGTGCTCTGACTGCGGGAAGGGCTTCAGGCGAAACTCCCAGCTCATCATCCACCAGCGCATCCACACCGGGGAGAGGCCCCACGAGTGTCCTGACTGCGGGAAGGTCTTTAGGCAAAAATCCACCCTCATCAACCATCGGCGCATCCACACTGGAGAAAGGCCCTACAAGTGTGAGGAGTGTGAGATGAGCTTCTCCCAGAGCTCAGCCTTGACTCAACACCAACAGAGGCACCGGTAAGCGAAGCCCTGTGAATGCCCCGCGTGCGGGAAGAGCTTTGTGCACTGCTCCAACTCCATCCCCCACTGCAGGACCCACGTTGGGCAGAGCCCTGGTGTAAGGGTCGGTGCGAAGTTTCCCTTGTTTTTGCCTCCCAACCGTCGCAAGGAGACTCCAGGGACCCCCACCCAGGCTGACTCTGGACAATGGTTTCCTGGCCTGGCCAAGGTGGATGCTTGTCAGGTGACTTTGTGCTGGTGTATTGTGTTCACTGGACTGTGCTGTCGTGGCACCCACCAGAGATTGTGCTGTACCAACTGAGGACTGCCCATCCGCACCTTTCTCCCACAGCACCACACAATGATCCATAAATCTTCCCACTTTTTGGCCAGAAGCCACTCGCTTTGGAGAAGGACTATAAGAAAGCGACCCTCTGGAGAAGACCTTTGAGTACTCCCCATGGATGAAGACTCGTCTATTGGCTGGCCCATGAGGACATCCATCTCATCTCGTTGGTAACTACTTTCCCATCCCCTTCTATTTCTCTCTCTATACTTTGTTTCCTATATCTCTCCCCTCTATTGTCACTGAGTTGTTGGCATTTAATAAAAATGCATTGCTGTTGTTGAATAAACTGATTTTGTCCCCTGCATTTTGCCTGTTTGCACCTTTGAGATCAAAAGAACCATCACGACCCCCGCTCTGCATTAATAGCGGATCGTGACACATGATGACCCACATTCCCTGGGATCCATGNTCGTGACACATGATGACCCACATTCCCTGGGATCCATGTTGGGAAGACACCTGGCTGCTTATCCTTTTGTTTTGGCCTTCATTTTTGTCTCTTCTTCATCTCTTTATGCTCAGAAAGCCAAAAAGGATCAATCTGTCACCTCTAAACCACTCAAATTCCGCTGAAAACACCTCAGTTTTCACCCAAAATGGCTCAATCCAGCTTCGTGGATCCTCAAAGCAACTCAGTCCTACAGGAACCTTACTAGATTCAACAGCCACCAGGGGTTGGAAGAAGATTGGGAGAAGTGGGATCCAAATTTGGAGCACTGGGATTGGGATTGTGTTGGGCTGGCTGGGTGGAATGGATTTGATAGTGAATAAAAGTTTTAGAATTCCTGATTTCTGTCCCATTCACTTCCAGTCAGTTGCAGTTCTGTTTTCACTGGCACCTTCTCACCTGATTGTGTTTTTGTCCTCCTTTCTCTCTGGCCTCTCTCTGCCTGCTCTGTTTTTCTCTCAGGGTCTCCCTTGACCCAGGGCAGCTCCCACCAAAGACCCTCCCCTGATTTAATTCCCTGTGCAGGAGCTCCAACAGCCATGGGTGAAGTTAGGAAGGCTGGCAGTGAAATGTCTCTGTAAGGTCTTGCTGCATTTGGCTTTTGGCCCCTTCTGAAGAGCTTTGCCTTCAAGGGCAGGAACATCTTTTCCTGGCTGGGAACTGGAATTCCAGACCCTGGCAGTGTGAGCCATGCAGGACCATCCAGACTGGGATGACGTGGGCTGGGATCCTCCAGACTGGGACTGCACAGACTGGGACCAGATGGATCAGGTCCAAACAGACTGGGGTTGTACAGACTGGGATCACATGGGCTGGGATTGTACAGACTGGGATCACATGGACTGGGACCATATGGACCGGGATGGCTGCACCAGAACGATGGGAACCGAGGCTGTCCTGCCCCACCCAGGGGTCCCTCCCAGTCCTGCCCAGTCCCGTGCGGGGGCGCAGCCAAAACTCCCCAGAGTGAACGTGGAGATCCCGGAGCGCTGCCGGTGTCAGTCTGTGTCCCAGTCCCAGTCTCGATCTCAGTCTTGGAGCAGACCTGGAGCACTCCTGGTGCTGATTCCTGTCCCAGCCTGAATCTCAATCTCGGAGGGGTGCTGGTCTTGGTCTCACTCTTGGTCCTATTGGTCCAAGAGTTGCCCGTCTTGGTGCTAGTGAAGGTTCCTTTTTCAGTCTCAATCTCAGTCTCAGTCTCAATGTCGTTCTAGGTATTGGTCTCGGTCTCAGTCTTGGAGCAGTTCCGCTTTCAGTGCTGGCACTGGTGAAGGTGTTGGTCCTGGAGTGCTCCCAGTGCCAATATCAGTCTCAGTTCTGTTGCTGGTGCCAGTCTTGGTCCTGGTTCCAGTGCTGCTCTAGTCTATGTCCTGGAGTTCTCCTGGTGCCGGTCCCTCTCGGACTCAATTTGGTCCCAGTCCCAGGGCCAGTTTCAGTCTCATTCTCGGTCCCAGTGATGGCCTTGAGGAGGGCCAGTCTCAGTTATGATGTTGGTTCTCTTCCCAGTCTTGGTCTTGGTCCCAGTTCTGATGCCAGTCTTGGGGGATGCTGGTCTCGGGGGATTTTATCAATGATTGACAGACTGACAGGGACTACTGAGTCATGATCAGAATCTAAATCTATTGTGAGCTACAGATGCTTATACACCATTTTTAGGAAGGCAGTAATTTTTTACTACATTCATTGGGTTAAACATCACCCAGACAAAATTTACATTTCTACTTATTTAGTTCAATCTTCTTTCCTGTCTCCAGTCTTGATTCAATCTTCTTGGAATCTTCAAAGCTCTGTTTGTTCTTCCAAGGCATCTTGGTTATCAAACTGCAAATGCCAATTAAATCCACAGTGATCTGTGTCTCAGCTTCCACAGTGCTGGTCTCAGTCTGGGTCCTATAGCGGTGCCAGTCTCAGAGCCAGTGCTGGTTCTGTTTTCAGTCTCAGTCTCAGTCATAGTCTTGGAGAAGTGCCAGTCCCAGAGCCAGTGCTGGTTCTGTTTTCAGTCTCAGTCTCAGTCATAGTCTTGGAGCAGTGCCAGTCCCAGTGCTGGTACTGGTGCGGGTGTTGGTCCTGGAGTGCTCTCAGTGCCAATCTCAGTCTCAATTCTGGTGCCAGTGCCAGTCTCGGTGCTAGTTCTGGTGCCGCTCTCAGTCTCAGTCCCGGAATTCTCCCGGTGCCAGTCCCAGAGCAGGCCTGGAGCACTCCTGGTGCTAGTCACAGTGTTGGTGTTCGTCTCAGTCTTGGTCCCAGTGCCAGTTCTGGGGCCGGATTTGGTCTCAGTCTCAGTGCCAGTCCTAGTTCCAGTTCTGGAGCAGTTCTGGTCTCAGTTCTGGTGTTGGTTCTGTTCCCAATCTTGGTCTCGGTGTCCATTCTGATTTTGGTCTCATTCTTGGTGCTGGTGCCATTTCTTGTGACAGTCTTGGTCCCAAAGATTTTAGGCCTGTTTGGGTGATTTTATACCAAACTGGGCAGTTTTAAGATGGATTTTAGGCCCATTTTGGACTCTGTTTGGCCCATGATTTTAGACACACTTTGTGTGTATTTGAGGCCCCTTTGGCTGATTTTAGTCCAAACCTAGGGGATTTAGGCAGCATTTGAGGCCCTTTTGGGTTATTTTAGCCCAAACTAGACCTTTTAGGCCCGAGTGACCCTTTGGCCCCGATCCTTCCCCTCACAGTTCCCGCCCTTTCCTTGGCCCCGCCCATTTCTATTCATAGCCCTGTCTATCTTTAGTCCCACCCCTTTCTTTCCAACCGAGCTGGTGTTCACCACGCCCCTTTCCCCTCCAAGCCCCGCCCATCTCAGGGCACGTTCCTCTCGCGCATGCTCAGAACACTCGGAGGTGCCTTCCGGGCGCCGCCATCTTTGCTCCCTGTCTGCCTGCCCAGCTTCAGCATGTCCGAGAGCTACGGTGGGGCTGGAGGGGAGATATAGAGCATATACTGGGGATCTCTAGGGGATTGGGGGGAGACTGAGGGTCTCGATAGAGGATTCGGGCTTGTTTATAGCAGATTTTGGGGTCTCTGGGGGGTCCCTAAAGGGGAATTGGGAGATCTATACGGTATCTAAAGGCTACCGGTGGAAGCTTTACCTCCCTGGGGGGTTCTGGGTGTTATAAATGAGAAACAAAAGTCTCGATATTCAGCAAAATTTAGATTGCTTTATTTGATATAGATGGAGCAAGCTATGCTGGAGAACATGAGGGGTCAACACCCACACCACGCTCCATCAAACCTTGGTTTCCAGCCTCTTTTATACTATGGTTTCTCGTTGTAATCAATAATTTTTGGTGGTTTTTTTCTGTCATAATTTTGCCAGGGAAGCAGTGGTGGTTGAATAAACATCCGTATTCAAATTCACAAAGTCTCCAGGCAATAGTCGGTCACAGATAACCATCTGGTCCCTGTAGATAACCACCAGCAAAATCTGGAAGTCTGGTCCTTGAGATAGGCAGCATTGATTAAACAAAGGCAGGAAAGACTATCGGGAAGTTGGATTTTGCAAGCTGTTAGTAGATACAACTTATTTGGAAAACTATTTGTAACAAGGTGATTTAAAACAGAAAGATTTAATCATATATTTTCCTTTATTTAGTGTCCATGCTTCACTTCAGAGCTTAGTATTCTGGTTTATACAAACCCCAATACTTTTGTGATTAACACGAATCTTTTATCAATTATCACAATTTCCCCACTTCTTTTTTCTTTTAATCCCATTTTTTCATGTTTGGGCTTCAAATTTTGTCACTATTTCCTGTACTAGATTGAATCCATTCACTGCCATTAGTTTTGTTGTTGACTCAGGGTCTATTGGTATTGTAGCAACTTGCATTCCTTGAACCACCGACTGGATTAGTCGAATGAAGCATGGAACAAGACAAGGGATGAACAGTAGCCCTAATAATGCACATATTAACATAAAGTCTAATTTCTTCCACCAAGTTTCCCCCAACAGGTTATTTCACCAATTGTCATTAAACGTAAAGTTCCAGGTTTGCACAGATACATGGGCTATTCTTTTTATTTCTTCTGCAATTTTAGTAATTACTTCACCATTATCATCCATTTCTATGCAGCATTCAGAATTATTCAATTTTCCACACATTCCCCCTTCTTCAGCTAATAGATAGTCCAGGACTAGTCGATTTTGATATACTGCTGCTCTAGTTTGAGTAAGTTGTTTTAGTTATCAGTTCAATTTCTCAGGCTGTTCGGTTGGAAGTAATTTCTGCTACGGCTTGTAGCCTGATAATTCTATTTAACATATAAATTGGAGTGTGATAGCCCCAGCTCTCATCTTGAGCCCATGTATGTTGGGAAGAATAAGGATTTGACAGGAAGGTCTCACAGAGATGTATGTGTAACAGAAAGATCTTTGAATGTAGAATCTGAAGAAGGAATAGAAATGATAGGAAGTTTTGATATAGAAGAAAAGAATTGCTGAGCCAGTCTTACTGGGTAACTAGAAGGTAAAAGAGCAAGTGAGTTCGAAGAGGATTTTTTGACTTAGAGCAAAGAATAAACCCACC